GGGAGTTGGAGCAGTGAGGACCTGGGTGTGAGTCCCTGACATCTTAGAACAGAGGAGATGGGGAGAACCCTGAGCAGGGGGACCCCAAAGCTAGCCACGGCCTTGGGTTGCTCAGGCAGGAGCTGGGAGACACCTGGTGCTGGCAGCCGGCTCTGCCCCTCGGTCCACGCCCTCCTCTCCAGGCTCCGTCGCCCCGTGTTTGCCCGTGGTATCCTAGGAACCCGGGCTGCCAGCCTGTGCTCCTGTTACATAACAGCTTCCCTCCCATCCATGGGTGCAGCCCTCCAGCAGGCAGGAGCTGAAGCAGGCACACAGAAGAAAGCATGTTCTCCAGACGGCTGCCCAAACCCACAGTCTCTGCCTGTGCTCTGCCACCGTGCACAGGGAGGGGACTGAATAAGCAATCTGCGTCCAGGACATTCTCTCAGCGGAGCTCTCTGGTCCTGCCCTTGTTCCACGTGAGCACAGCACCTGTCAGTGGTGTGGCCACACGCTGGCCGTGGCTCCCCCAAGCCAGCAGGCTGAGGGGGCAGTTCCGGAGTTGCAGCGGCACTCCCCACCTCCTCTCCCTCTGCACCCCAGCCCTTCCTCCCGCTCAGGAAGGGACCAAGGACAGACCCCTGCTGGGGACCCCCTCTCTAGCTTGGAAATGCCTGTCCTGCCACTGTGCCTGTGGCTGCCCCCAAACCCTTGGGCACCTGGGCAGCCAGCCAGTGCAGGCCACCTCCGTTCCTACCTGTCCTCTTCTCTGGCCAAGGCAGAGAGTGCTCCAGCAGGGATTTGAGAACCTCAGGCATGTCCATGGCAGGGGCCACTCCGATCCGGTCGCAGCTCGACATGGCCTGGCAGGAGGAGCTTGATCTGGGAGTTTAGAAGCAGCTGGAGAGGCAGGAGCTGGCCCGGGAGCCACAGGCTCTGGAGGCGGGCGGGGCGGGAGCCGGAGGCAGCCAATGGGCAGCACGGACCCCGGCCCGCCCGTCCACCCCCAGCTCGGCCACCTGCCAGCTCAGGCTGCAGCCAGGCCTTCCCTTCCCCGCCGCCTGGCAGGGCAGGCCTGGCCCTGTGCCAGCTGCAACACGTGGAGCCACTGCACCAATCATCTGACGGAAAGCCTGTGCTGTTATCTAACTTTGCAAAGGGAAGTTCTCCCCCAGGCTGGGAGCCGTGACCAGGGCCTGCCAGGTGAGAACAGGGAGCCGGCTCCATGCCCACAACGAGTGTGCACCGCACCGTCAGGCACACCCCGCCGAGGAGCCCTGGCGCAGTCAAGAGCAGGGCCTGCTGAGGGAACCAGCTGGGGCGGGGGCTCGAGACCCTGGCACTGCGGGCAGCTCAGCACAAAGGATAAGCTCTGTGTTCGCACATACAGGCACGTGAAGGCACCACACACAGTGTCACCTGCGGGCGCGTGAACCTCCAAGGGCTGTGTGTGTGTTTCCGTGCTGGTGCACATGTGCCTTGCAAGGTGCACGGGTGTGCATGGGGCATGCATAACTGGGGCTTTCTACCATCTGCAGAGCCTGAAGTCTGCTCTCTCTCTCTCTCTCTCTTTAAAGGTTTTATTTATTTATGTTTAGAGAGGGGAAGGGAGGAAGAAAGAGAGGGAGAGAAACATCAATGTGTGGTTGCCTCTCACGCGCCCCCCACTGGGGACCTGGCCTGTAACCCAGGCATGCACCTCAACTGGGAATCGAACCGGCGACCCCCTGGGTTCGCAGGCCTGTGCTCAATACACTGAGACACACCAGCCAGGGCTGAAGTCTGTTCTCTTAAAGGAAGGGACAAAACCTGCAGCCCGGGGTCCCTCTGGTCTTCCCGGGAGGGAAGCAGTGGCGGGCGCCAGCAGGCAGGTGCTGGGAGGCCAGGTGGAGCAGGCACTCCTGAAAGGGGCCAGCTCTGTGACCTGCCTCAGGCTTGTCTCGGGTGAGGTCCTGCTTCCCAGGCCACCCCAGGGACCTCGGTGAATACTGGCCTCTGTAGTTCCCCTGCCACCCGAAAGTGCGGCCGAAGCCAAAGTTCTGTGTGTCACCTTCCACTGAAGACCAGCATCAGACTCGGCCAGCGGGTCGGCAGCTCTCCATCATGCCGTGCACTGATGCGGGATCTCGGACCAGCTGGGCAGCTCTTCCGGGTCTCCGGCCCGAAACTACTGAGTGTTGTGACCCAAACTGCTGAACGCTGTGACAGCCCTCAGCTCCAGTCCCGTGTCTCTGCCGCTGCAGGCTGGATGCTGCCAGCAGGAGCTTCCTTTGCTGCCGCAGGCTCTGCGCAGTCCTTCGCTGCTCCCCACAATCCCCTTTGTGCATGGAATCAAACGTGCTCCAGGCACCTCTCCGGCACCTTCCGAACAGCTCTCGCCTTGTCTTCTACTTACCCCCTTCTCTCCCTAGTGGCCCCCCTCCCAAAACCATGTTCTTTTCCCAAATTAAAATTAATTTCAATTTTTTGAATACAGAAAAACAGTATATGGCTCAAAGCTCAAAATTTTTGATAAAGGCATTCTTTCGAAATGTCATTTCTAAGCCCTGGCTGGGTTACTCCGTTGGTTAGAGCATCATCCCAATATGCCAAGGTTGAGGGTTCGATCCCTGGTCAGGGAGCATACAAGAATCAACCGATGAATGAATAAGTAAGTGGAACAACAAATAGATGTTTTTCCTTCCTTTCCTCTTTCTCTAAAATCAAAAACAATTTTAAAAGGAAGTACATATGGAAACTCATTTTTTAAAAATGAGATATTGTATTTCTCCTTCCAGCACCCTTTGCCTCTGTGACCCTGGGCAAATGAGGATGTGGCGGGCCTGGTCTGCAGGCTGGGGAGACCAAGGCTGAGCTGGTACCTTAACCACTCCTTGGCCCAAGAGCCCTGTCGTGTGCAAGGTCGGCTTTCCACAAAGGTGGAGTGGGGAGGTGCCCACAGGTTTCAGAGGCGATAGGAAGTACCCTACATGACTCAGAAAAAAAAATGCTCACCAGCTGCACGACACTCCACCCTTGGAGATCTGTCCCTGTGGCCCCCTGCGGGCCCGGACAGCGTGCGATTGCACTGCCTCTAGGAACCGGAGTGAGTGCTGCGGCATACCTGGCACAGCCTAGAGCTTGTGAGGAGCTCCAAGTTAAATAACAGACGCAGCCAGGCAAGCCCCTACTTTAAGGGATTTCCATGCCGGAGTCAGTCCACCTGGCACCCCTACCCTGCACCCAGGGTGTCCAGACAGCGGCATCACCTATGGTCACAGAGGGGCCACCTCAGCAGGTTGCTGAGTCAAGACGCTAGGGAGGGAAGTGGGAGAGGGGAGGCCATGTAAAAGCCTGGGGACACTCAGAGGGGCCACCTGCCTAGCAGGCACGTTGGGATTGTCTGCACTTCTTGGGTTCCCTGGCTCAGAGGAGCCATCTAGCTGCGGAGGGCTCCTCTGGTTGGCTGCTTATTATACTCTTTATTTTTTGAGTTCAAGGGAGGTCCTGATGTAGGCTCATGATTTCTCCAGCCCAAGGATTGGGACTGGGAGCAGTACCTTGTGATGCCACTTTGGTTTTTTGCGGGGTGCGGCCAGGGATGCCGAGAACCCAGACGTCAGCGCTGAAAGGACCTTTGCCCATCAGCCACGTGGTTCTTTTTCTGCCTCCTTCCTGAGGGCCCTTGGAACCTTCACTGAATGTGCAGGGTTATTGTGCAGAACAGACATGCGGCGTCCAGTGCCTGGCCCGCAGAGGGTCCTCAATCAGGTTAGCGGCTGCTTACTCATCTGGTCATTTATCAGGCATCTTAGCTTTTACTCTTTACCGAGCCCAAATGGCTCCCTGTCCTTGAAGTTACAGGTCCTAGGCCTCTGCTCCTGGGACCGCTGTGCTGTAGTTTAAAGCTGTCTGGAGAGCTTGCTCATAAAGGCATTCTTCAGAAATGTCACTGGGGTAACGGAGGGGGTACACGTGCAGCTCCCCCAATACCTGCAACCACAACACAGTGCAAGACTTGAAGAAGTACCTCCAGCCCTGGCTAGTGCAGCTCAGGGGATCAAGTGCCAGCCTGCAATCTGAAAGGTTGCCGGTTCAATTCCAAGTCAGGGCCCATGCCTGGGTTGGGGGGCCAGGTCCCCAGTTCAGGCATGTGAGAGGTGACCAGTCAATCTCTCTCATAAACTGATGTTTCTCTCCTTCTCTTTCTCCCTCCCTCTAAAAGTAAATAAAATCTTTTAAAAAAGAAAAAGTACCTCCAGCAGATACACATGTCCCTCATTAAGAACTCCTGAATAAGCCCTGGCTGGCGTAGCTCAGTGGATGGAGCACGGGCTGCAAACCAAAGTGTCGTAGGTTCGATTCCCAGTCAGGGTACATGGCCTGGGTTGCAGGCCATGACCCCCAGCAACCGCACATTGATGTTTCTCTCTCTATCTCCCTCCCTTCCCTCTCTGAAAATAAATAAAATCTTAAAAAAAAAAAAAGAATTCCTGAACTAATATACTCTTCTGTTAAGGATGGGGAAGCCCATGTGACTTGGACCTCCCTGGGCCCAGAAGAGTCTGGGTTGCAGTCAAGATCATATTTCAAGGCACGACATGGCCCCTCACCTTCCTGGAAAAGCCACACACAGACAGCGCACAGAGCCAGCCCTTCGGGACGTGCACATGGTTAGCAGCAGGGAGGAGTGGGTGCTGCTGCACAGCCCACGCGGAGGGCTGCGAGCAGGCAGGCTGCAGAAGAGCCAGCGGAGGGTGGTACCGGGGTCACTTGAGCAGAGCACAGCTTGTCCCCGTCAGCAGAGGTGCCGCCTGAGCCAGGGTCAGCTGAGTCGCCCTGTTTACATAGGGAACCAGACCTGCCCCTCACCCCTTGGAATGTCCGCTTCGAGGCATTCCCAGCGCCAGCCAGCTCTGCCCCAGGAGTATGGAGTAGCCCAGGCCCTGGGCACAAGTGCCAGGCAGGGAGGAACGGGAGCGACACCTTGGGGACAGAGGTCAAAATGCACATTTATTTTCTAGAACAAAGGCTAAGAGAAAGCAAGTTTCTTTCATTTTATTTTAAGAAGGACAAAAATTGTTATTAAAACATCTACATTATTATCAAGATACTAGACCTTATGAATATTTAATATTAAAGTGTGGTATTCTTAAATTTTTATACACAGACATTTTAAAAGGACCACTAAATTGATTCCTGCCCAGCTGAGAAATGCAGCATCCCTCCTTGCCTGACCCAAAGGGACACTCAAATCAAGGGTGCCTGTCCCTTGTCACCATGTTCGCCATGACGTCTTGACCCTGCCTGATGGCGGTGGGCACAGGCTCCTGGTTCAACCCTCCCAGTCAGGGTCACAACCGAAACAGTCCCCTCCCCACTCTGAGTCTACTCCTGTCTCCCTCTCCCCACCCTCTTCCTGCCTCTCGCTCAGGGATGCGGCTCGGGCCGGGCCGGGAAGGCCCAGATCCCAAGGGCCCCTGGAAGGGTAACGGGTGGAAGAAGAAAAATCTGGACTCCAATCCTGTTCCCTGGGGTGGGGAGACAAACACCAATCATTTTCCGTTCTCGAGCTCCCCTTGCTGGCGCTGGGCCGGAGGCCGCCCTGCAGAGCCGGGCCCGGGCAGGGCGGCTTCTGCCCCAGTCGCCTCTGACCCCGGCTCTAGTCCCTGAATCCTCGAAGATGGCCCGATGACCCTGAAAACCTTCCCAAATTACATCAGGATGGCTGCATTTTTCTGACCAAGTTCTTTATCTTTAGCCCTCGTTAGAAGTGATTCGTTGGATACCACACACATATATAATATTATATAGAGCGATATATTTAATACCTGTGTATATATGTATCACAGGGGCGACATATATACACACTAAAAACAAGGCTGGTGACAACAGACTGCAACACCACGAATCAGGGAAAACAAATGTCATTGACACTCATGGCCACGCCCCCACCTTGGGTGTGGTCTCCCCTCCCCTCCAGCTCCACGAGCACCGGCACTCCGCAGTGCTGGCCAGCTGGGGGGGAGGGGCGGGGAGGAAGGGGTGCATGCCGCGTTACTGGGGAAGGGCTGGGCTGGGCGGGGGGCGGCCCGGATGCCCGTCATCACATCCGCACACTATCCTGTCAGTCCTTGCTCGAGGGGAAATACAGGGCCCTCTGCCCTCTCCGTCTCACCCCCGACTCCAGCCTGGGTCCTGGTTCCTTTCGGGGGGGCCCCACTTCTTGTGCCAATGGTGTGGGGCATTCTGGAATGTCTAGGGAACCAGGGGAGGCTGGATCTGCCCACAGGGGGTGGGATGGAGAGGAAGGGGTGCACACAGACATTAGACGAGGGAGACAAGAGAGGGGCTTGGGGGGCAGTTGGGGTCCTAGGCAGCTGGCAGGGCTGGGGAGCAGGGGGGAGGGGCCGGGACAGGTGGTCATAACTGTATTTCTTGGTCTAGGGGAGAAGGGGGAGAGGACCATGCCGGGTCCCCAAGAAAGAGGGGTTACGTCTGGTCCTCGAGTGGCCCGTGGTGCCCAGAGTCGTCTCCCTCCTCTCCACCTCCCCCTCACCCCATACCTGATGCAGAACCTGAGCCCACGGGTGCCCTGCCCATTCCCACCTCTCCTGACCACCCGTCCCTGAGCCGTGTGGGCAAGTCATCCTGGCCGCCACACTCCCCGCAGCCGTTCTCAGGGGAGACTTCCCCTCCACACTGCTGACAAGACTAGCGCCCTGAGCCCCCCTTTCCCCAGGCCCCGGGCGGGGCTGCCCGGGACCCCAGCTGCGCAGGGGAGTCCGAGGCTGCTCGCCACACTCCTGCCGAGAGCCTGGGAGCTCCAGCTAGTGACAAGCCCTGAGTCTTCTGACCAGTCTGCACCCCAGCTCTACCCCACGCCCTGGGAGGGAGACCCTGGGCAGAGAGACAACTGACTCCTCTCTTTCGGGCCTCAGTTTTCCCATCTGCAAAATGGGGGTTTGGGCCGGGCCATCGCCAAAGGCTCTGAGGATCTACAATCTACATTCAATGGCTCAGGAGCGAGAGGGGCTGGGCTGGCAGCCTCCCTGGAGAGCCGGACTCCAGAGATCACTGGCCCGGCCCCTCCCATTCTTCCAACCGGAGGGGACGCGGAGGCCCCAGAGGGCGAGTGGCCAGTACAGTGTGTCAGCCCCACCCTGGGGCTGCGCGTTAAAGCTAAGTGGGGCTTCCTGCCCTCTGTTGTGTCCTGATCTGCCCCCAGAGAGGCGGGGGTGGAATGAAGGTGGGTTTGGGAGAAGGACCCTCCTGCTGCAGATTCAAGTGGGGAACCCAGGCTCTTCGGCCCTGAGCTGTGGGCCCCCTTCAGGAGCAGACGGAAGTTAAAGCTGTAGCTGAAGCTGGAGGGGTCGGCCAGACCCCTCTCTCCCCACCCAGGAGGGTTGGGAGTGGGAGAGGCCCTGCCCAGGGTTTCCGCGGGATGAGGGCCCTGGGACGGCCTGTGGCCGCAGCACGTGCACTGGGCTTGCGCACTGGGTAGTGGGGGCAGGTGGCATGGGTGAGGCGTCGGGGGCCAGGGGCTGCCTGCTGAGGGCGGCCCCCACCCCCAGCCTGGCCTGCTCTGGCCCTCCTACCAGGCCCTCTGTCCCCACCCCCACCCCTGACCCCAGGACTTCACCCGCGACCAAGATGGGGTCCTATTCCCCAGTGACAGCGGCAGTAGCAGGAGCTTCCGGGGTGGCACCAGCAGTGTTGCCATCCTCTTGCAGCAGGAAGTTGTATTTGCCGAAGTCGTCGTCCCGGGGGCACAGAAGCATGTCCTTGCGGGCCTTGGCCAGCTTCTGCTTCAGCACCTCGCGCCGGTCCAGCCACTCGTTGAGCTCCTCCTGCCCATGGGCGCAGCGGCACTTGTCCCCGTCGGGGCAGGCCTTGCCCTTCTGGAGCCTGTGGGCGGCAAGGGGCTCAGTGCCCGAGCCCTGTGCCCTCTCTCCCTGGGCAGCTGCAGCCAGGCTGCAAGCTGGCATGCCCCAGCCTTCTCCAGGAAGTCTGATCCAGGGCTGCGAGGGAGGGGTCTGGCCAGGCCTCCCACCGCCCCAGGCCCACCGCCGTCCACCCGAGGCGCCGCCCTCCCTGCAAGCACCTGTCGCACAGCCGGAACTCGCCCATGGGGAAGCGGTAGGCCCAGCCGCTGGCATCACTGTCGGACGTGAACACCTTCTCCTTGTGCTTCTCCGACTGGATGTGCTGCTGCCACTGCTTCTTGCTGTTGCTGTTCTTGCCGCAGAGCCAGCAGTGGTAGCCCATCTGGGGGCACAGGCGCCGTGGGTGCCCGCTCCTCACGCCTCCTCCGCCTGGAGGCCGAGCCCCTCCCCACCGCCTGCCCCCCGTCAGGCTCAGAGCAGGGCCCCAAGCACGCATGAGGCGTGAGGCGTTACCATGATGTCGGCGTAGTCGGTGGGCATCTGGATCTGCTTCTCCCCCTCCCGGGAACTGATTGGGGTCCCTTCCCCCGGCTTCCCGGGGTTGTGTTTCTTCAGCCACATGTCGTAGGTCTGCTGCATGTCCAGGACTGGTGGGAAACAGGGGACAGTGCCCGGTGAAGGGGTGCTCCGGCCATCTGCCCCCTGACCCCTGCTGGGACAGAGAACTGGGGGCGGCTTGGGCCCTGCCACGGGGCTGCCAGGTCAAGCCCAGAAGACCAAGGGCGTGGCCAGGCATGCCTGGAGAAACGACCGGTGGCAAAGGTGCTCCTGGGCCTGCGGAAGAGTTGGGGTGTCCGGCAACGGGGGTTCACGGGGCCCACTCACTCTTGTTCTCCTTCATGAATGTCCACATGTCCCTCTCCTCGGGGCTGTGCGCGAAGGAGCAGTTCCCCACGTACTGGCACTTACGGCCGTTCTGCGCATGGATGCAGAGCTGGGGGGCAGGTGAGGGGACGGCATGCTGAGTCCCGCTGGACCGTGTCACCATCCCAGCTGGAGGGGGAGCCCCCCGGGGACCCCGTGGGCCCCCCACCTGAGGTCTGACCGCCACCCCACCACACCTCCCTCCTGGCACTCACATCGTATTGCTGCGGGAAGTTGCGGATGGATGGAAGTGGCCTCACCGACACCCACTTTCTCTTGGCCTTGGACATCACGAGAAGGACCCGTCGCTCCTTGGTCCAGCTGCAGGGCAGAGCGGGGTGGGGGGGCCAGTTGGGGCGGGCTGGGGCGGAGTCTCAGGCTGTGTGACCTCCACGGAGAGCCACAGCCTCCGTACCCGGTGCTCGGGTGCACCGCGCCCCCGCCGGCCCGCGCCCCGCTCACCAGTGCTGGGCCTTGGCGCTGCAGTACTTGAGGTCTTTGTCGGGCTCCACCACCTGCCCGTTCCTCCAGCACTGGCCGCACACGAACTTCATCTGCAGGTCAAAGGTGCTGGGCCCGTGCGTCCGCGGGGCACCCTGTGGGCAGAGTGGCAGGTGACGTCACAGGCGCCGGGGCCGAGGCCCTGGGGTCCATCATGAAGGTGGCCTCCGGGAGCACTAGGGCTGCCCAGAGCCTGGGAAGGGGCCACTCCGGCACCCCTTCCTGGCGGGAGGTGACCCGCCCCCCAGCGCCAGGAACGAGGCCTGGGACGGGGCTCCTGACTCCTGACGCCGCGGACCTCAGCTGCCCAGTCCGCACGGGCCTGCTCCGCGGAGGCGCTGGCATTTCTCGGGGCACGGCCTGTGGCCTCGCACCTCCCTGCCTCTGCACACGTGTGGCTCCCTCTTCCTGCCCTTTGCCCTTTCTCCACTCTTCACCAGGTTTGCTCCTGAAATCTTCAAACCTCAGCCTGAGCACCTCTGTCAGGAAGCCTTCCTAGGGCTCCCCTAAGACGCAGCTGCCCGTCCTCCGGGCTCCCCCAGTACCCCCAAACTTGATTGATGCATCTCGTTCTGAGGGCCAGGCCTGGTGGGGAGCACGGCCCAGAGGGTGGGAAGCCACCTGCGGCAAGTAGGGACAGAGGGGCCTGCGACGAGCAGTGGGACGGACTCTCTAAGGCCCTGCCATGCCCATTCCCCATCCTCTGCCCCAGCCTCTCCTCTGCAGGCAGGAGGCCCTGCTCTTCCCGCACCCCTGTGTCAGGGCGGGAGGCGAGAGGTGAGAAAAGTGCCTACCCAGCCTGGTCTCCTGCGACCCAGCTGTCCCCCCTGCAAGCCAGAGCCTCCCCATGCTCCCTGGAGGCTCAGAGAGGGGCCACCCTTCCAGGCAGCACTGCCAGCCCATGCTCTTATGACTGGGACTCGGCCTGCGCTAGAGCACTCCTTGCTGCAGCCCTGGGGGGTGCGGGGGGGCATTCAGCTCTGGGAGGTTACTAACCCACCCTCGGGGAAACAGCCTGAGGACAGCGAGCTGGCGTGAGGCGGGTGCTCGTGCCTCTTTAAGGGATGGCACAGATGCTCTACCCTGGCATCTCACACTTGGCTCCACCCTGTGATGGCAAGCAAGCAGGACGCCCACGCCCGGGTCATGGCCAGACCTGGCACAGCTCTGTTCTGGAGCCAGGTCCAAGGGCAGTACCCTGGTGGGGAGGGTGGGGCCTGGCAGCAGCCCTGGGCAGGACGAAGGGGGTCAGGGGGGTGGGAGGGGCAAGGGCTCTCTTCTCCCTTTAAAAGCGAGGCTGCAGGTGTAGCCTTGGCCCTCACCGGTGCCCAGCCAGGATTCCAGCCAGCAGCAAAAGTGAACCACATGGAAGAGGGAGGGAGGGAGGGAGGGAGCAACCAGCAAGATGGGAGAGAAAGAAAAAGGACCGGAAACAAGGGGGATAAGGGAGAGAGGGGGAAGGCCTGAGGGTGCTGGGCGGCCCTGCTGACCGGCCAGCTGCACTGCTCCCTGGCTCAGTGCCCGTCCCGGCTGGTCGCAGGGTGGGCCCAGGGCCCAGCCTTCTCCCGAGTCGGTCCGTGGGTTGTCCCTCCTGTGTGGATGGCGCCGTATCACAGCCACCATCTTCTGAGCCCTGAGGCCACCCCTTCTGTCCCCACTGTCACCTAAATTACAGTGAGCCCTACCTGCTGGGGCAGGTATGAGGGTCAGGGTGGCACGGGGCCAGCACAGAGGAAGAACTCAGCACGCTGTAGCATGGTCGGCTCCCGCGAGCCCTGCACCGACCTTGGGAGATGGCAGGCAGGACTAGGATCCCGTGTTACGGACGAGGAGCCCTCAGAGGTGAAGGGCGTGGGCCAGGTTGGGAGGGGGCAGAGCGCGCTCCAGACAAGGTGCCGGAGAAGCCGGGGTTCACTTCACTAGGCGGGAATCCCAGGGCAGGTCCGGGAATGGTCAGAGCCTCCCTTCCCCGTCCGCAAACGCCGCGGTGCCGCAGCTCAATCTTCCGGACCAGGGTGGTGATCGGGAGGGACAGGGTTGGAGGGAGGCGGGGGGGTGGGGGGGGCCCACTATCGGTAGATGAGAGTTTGAGGAATAGCAGGATATTTACACGATCTCAAGTACCTCCCCGGGAGGTGTTTATTAATTACCAAGGGGAAAGGTGACTGCACAGCGGAGGCGCGTTAGGTCAGGTTGTTCGGTTACTGTCAGTGAAAGCCGCGTCGGGTGATGTGCCTCCCGGTGAGTGACCTGGGAAGGGCACCGCCCCACTCTGGGGTTTGAGGAACCACTGGGCAGTGCCCGGTGGACGGGCCTTTCACAAAGCGAGCGGCTCTTCCCAAACATCCAGGTCACGGGAGACACAGAGAGACTGAGAAACGGCTCTGGACCGAAGGGGACTGAACAGACACAAGGGGCGAGTGTGAGGTGCTGCTCGGGGCTCGGGGACGACTCGTGGAATCCGAGTGACAGTGCAGGGAACCTGGACCTCACACCAGCGTTCATTCCGTGCTGTTGATCAAGTCCTGTGCTTACTGTGTAAGAGGGTGTCGTGGTGTTTAGGAAGCACACACGGAAGTATTTAGGGGTGATGGGGTATCGTGCCTGCAACTTACTCTCAAATGTGTTCACTTCCGTATGTAAGTACGTGTTATGCACGTGGGACAGAATGAGTGTGGAACGTGGTAAAATGTTAACATCTGGGGAATCCAAGAATGGGCACACACAAACTGCTTGTACCATTCTCACAATTTTCTGGTGACCCCGGAACTATGTCCAAACACAGGGCTGAGGCCCGAGCCCACCCGCACAGCCAGCCCGGGGCCTCACCAAGCTGCTGCTGGCCTTCCCTGCGTGGGCCTCCATCTGCTGCCAGTATTTCTTGGACTCCTGGACGATGTCTTCGTGGGTCATGCCTGGGGGAGGGGTGGAAGCAGCCATGGGTGTCCCTGAAGGAGCTCATCCAGGCCAGGTGGGGATCCGAGCAGGGTGGCGGACCCCAAGCCCAGACGGAGGAGCGCCCCCCGCCCCCCAGTCGGGCCTGACATGGACAGAGGCGGGTGCGGGAAAAGTGCTCGCCGCCTGGGCCTATTTGTTCCTCCGGGGCTGGGACAGTGGCTGGCTCCAGAGTGGGCAGATGCAGGGGGAAGACCCTGGCTCCGCAGCATGGCATGGTGACCCCGCGACCCTATGCCACTGTCCCCGCCTCTTGGGCCAGCGGCTTAGCACCCTTCCTTGACCCCCGTCTCACTCAGTGGGGCCTCAAGCCTGACCCCCGAGTGGCAGCCCCTCGCCCACCGGTTCTTAGGGTTCTTGCCCGGCCTGGCCCGGTTCGCCCGCTCACTGAGGGGCCACCTCTCTTCACTGCCTGCCAGCTCGGGGCACGGGCCCCCCCACTCTCACTGCTGACACTGAGCGTGCCTGCAGGGCTATAGCTCGGACCCTTTTCCATGAAGCTGTCCACCCCCGCTTCCCACCTCCAGCCTGCTACTCCCCTTCCCAGAACTAATCTCTTTTGACCTTGTCCTGTGGATACTGCTCCCCGGTGTCCACTGGCCATCAGCCATGAACTCTGGGCCAGCCACTGTGCCTGACATCCATGTTCTTGCTGACCATTCCCAAACATGCATGTCCAGCCCAGACCTCTCCTACGAACTCCCGGGTGCCCACATCCAGCCGTCTGCTCAAGGTCTCCACTTGAAGTCCAACAGGCAGCTAGAACTGCCCACAGCCCACACCGGGCCCGGGTGAGACCCCCACACCGGCTCCTCCTACAGCCCCCTCCCTCCGCAGAACAGGGCAACGCCGTCCCTCCAGCTGCTCTGGTCAAACCCTCGGACTGGGGAGAAGAGACGGAATGCCCACTCATCACACTGCCTGCCCTGCCTGCACTCGCACACGCCGGTCCCCTGACAGCAGGGGCCTCCCTGGCTCCTGCTCAGCCCCTGACACAGGGCAGGGGCTCAGTGAGTCCGAGTTAGATGAGTGAGTGAACCGGTGAGTGAACCACTTTTAACCTCCTCAGCTCTGACGCAGAGACGACGATCGCCATTTCACAGACAAGCAAAGGGAGGCTCAGCGAGGGGGCGTGACCTGCCGAGGGCCTTTGGGGAGCCGAGGGGGCAGCAGCCTGGCTCCGCCGGCCTCTGCCCGCCGCCCCGGCAGTGCCCGGAGCGGGCGGGAGACACCCGGCGTGCCCCTCCACCCGCCGCCGCCGGGCGGCCCCTACCTGAGTACTGCTGCAGCAGCCAGACTTTGAGCTCGATGAAGCTGTGGGCGAAGTGGCAGCTGTCCTCCCGCAGGCAGCCGTAGCGCACCTCGTGGCGGCACACGTCGAACTGGAAGTGCTCCTGGAACTGGCGGATCTTGGAGTACTTGAGGGAGGCGGAGCGGACGATGTGCACCAGGCACCTGGGGGGCGGGGGAGGGGCACGATGCGGTCCGCAGCGCCCAGTCCCGGTGGGGCCGCCTCCCCCGGTGCCTGCCGGCAAGCCTGGCGGGTGTCCCACGCTCAGACCGCCCCGGGGTGCAGTCCCGGCTGCGCGCCCCTCTCCCGGCCTCAGCCTCGGGCGAGCTCAAAGACGGAGCTGCCGGCAGGAGCAGGGCACCAGCTCCCACGTGCTACTCGAGGCTGGGGGGGGGCGGTGCCTACGAGTGGGAGAAGGGGCATTTCCCTCAGGATCCCCGGCCCGATGCCCCAGAGCTGGTCCTGCACCGAGGGACAGTCATGGAGCAGCACCTCCGGGCCGAGAATTTTCATCACCCTCCCAGCAACCTTGGGAGGCTCGGGAGCACCGTCAACTGTACAGATGAGGAAGCCAAGGGTCACGGCGGCCAGAGGACACAGAGTAGGCCGCTGGCCAGGCCTGTCTGACTCCAGGGCCTGGGCTCTACCATCTCCACTGGGCCCCAGCCAAGGGCGTCAGCGGGAGCAAAGGTGGGCGACTGACTCACCCAGCCCCTCCCACTCACTGTCCAACGCCGATGTCAGGACAGTGCAGGGCACCAGACCGGGGTCAGAGATGTGACCTCCCACTTGCCGATGAGTCAGCTACTCCCTTCCAAGCCCCGGCGCTCTCATCTGTACGACAGACAGTAGCTCCGCCCTCACGGGACCACAGGGACCATTAAGATACCCAAGAGGAGGCTTGGAACACAGACGCTCACAAAAGGCGGTTTTGTCTGTTGTTTCCAGGTGGATGCTGCATCCGAGTCCCAAATCCTGCCCCTTGCCTTGACACCCTCCGGCCTCTGTCCACCCTCCGGCCTCAGCGGCTCCCCCGGCATCTGAGCTGCCCCAGGGGCCCTCTCCCTGGGCCCCCGCCCCCCCTGGGCCGGGCTGCGGGTCCCACTCACTTGTTGTTGTAGAAGCTGTGCTTGGCAGCCAGGTTGGAGCAGACCGACGGCGAGTCCTTCGTGCCTTTGCTGATGATCCGGGGTTTACTGTCAAAGCAGATCTGCCCAGGGAAGGGGCGGGCTGGGACCAGGCACGGCCACCCGGGGTGGGGGGCGGACCGATGGGCCCCCGCAAGCCCTGCCCCGAATACCTGAGTCTGGGGAGTGAGGGAGGGGGCCCCGGGGTCTCTGATCCTTGCCTCTCTGGCTCTGACAGGTAACCAGGGTCTTGGCTCTCTCTGCTCCCGCCCCTCATTAGGTCGGGGAGTCCCCCTGTCATGCCTGGGGCGGGGGTTACTCCATGCCTCTGAGCTTCAGTTTCCACCTCCCCACAGGGAGGGGGCTGGGGAGGGTCCGGGCTTTGGCGCGACAGCAGCCTCTGAGCCTAGCTTTCTAACAGCCCAAGGACCCGCTGATTCCAGCGCTGGGCCTCCACAGCCCCCAGGTTCCAGGGCCGACACCCCACGGCGGACAGAGTATGCCAGGGAGCCCCCTCCCCAGCCCTGTCTGTGCCATCGACCGTGGAGGTGGGGGGCGGGGCGGGCGGGCAGGTACCTCGCAGAGGAACGTGAAGATGCCCTGGTGCTCCTTGAGGAGCTTGGCGATGGTGAGGCTGCCGCGCTTGACGCCCCCCAGCGGGTCAAAGAGCAGGTCTCGGTTGAGGGTGCCCTTCCGCTCCTCGGTCCACACGTCGATCTCCTCCTGATGGTAGGCGAAGGTGCAGTTATCCCCGTACTTACAGTCCTGCTTGTTAATCATGTCTGCAAAGAGGCAACAGGACACAACGTTCTGCCAGGCGGGACGGCAGCCCGCGGCACCCCCACGGCCACCGCCGCCGTGGCCGGGGGAGGGGGGGGGCCGGCAACCCCCCGAGGGGCTTAGGCTCCTCTCCGACACCTGGCGTGCTGGACACTTGGGAGGGGTGGCGAGGCAGAGCTCAGGGACAGTCCCCCCAGGCCAGGCCCCTCTCTGCTCTACACCTGGGCGGGTGGGGGCGGGGACCTGCATCCTCATCTGCAAAGCACGGCTGTCACCGGACCCCACCACCCAGAGCTGTGAGGACGCACGGCAGTGGGTACAAAGGGGCGACAATATAGAGCGCTGAACAATATTGTGACTGCCATGTACTGCCCTGTAAGATGCTGGGTTGGAGAACGGAAGAAAGCAGCTAAGGTCCGTGACAACTGTCTGTGAAATTTCAGCCAAGCTGACGTGAGGCGGAAGTGAGGGCGATAAAAACGGAATGCTTTTTAAAAGCCAACATCTATCAAGCCCTTCCTACGCGCCTGCCCTAAATGCTTTGCAAGTCCTCCAGGAACTGTCTGACCCTCCCACGCGAGGGCACGGGCCACCACCGGCTCGGCTGTCACGCCCTGAACATCCCCACCCGTCTGCAGAGCTGGCCCGAGGGGGAGGCGCTTGCTCTGAAGTGGGGTGCACCCTCGACGGGCCACCCACCTTTGCACAGGTAGTAGGAGCCCACGAAGCTGGTCTTGGTGGGCCGGGGCCGGATCCGCTTCCAGGTCTGGTCCTCGGCGCTCCGCAGCCGGCCCAGCAGGGTGTCGCGCTTGCACTTGTGCTCCAGGCCCTCCCGGTAGGTGTAGTCGCCTGCCCTGGGGCCTGGGGGTGCACGGTGGGCGGGGACTGTCATTCCGGAGGCAGAGCTGACGGGCCCAAGCAGTGGGAAGTGGCTCCCCTGCCTAAAACCCCACCCCCGTCACCTGGGCCTCCCGCTGCACCCTCCCCGCCCCACGCTCTCTGCGGCCCGGCTCCCGGAGCCTGAGCACGCCCGGGTTTCCTGGGACGAATCAGAGACAGAGCCTGGGGGGGAGCAGACCCCCACGACGCCCTCCCTTCTTTTCCTGCCCCGAAGGGCACCACCCGGGTACATGCGCCCTCCCCTGCTCCTCCTCCTCTTCTCCGTCCTCTCAGGTCTTCTGACCAAGGGCCTCCCTTCCCCAGGCAACGGAGTGGGCCGGTCTCCTTAAGGAGACCAAGAGGAAATGGCCCCTGGGGGACCTCGTGTGATCTGGCTGCCGGCGCCCGGTGCGCACCGGCCGGCTCCTGGGGCCTCAGCCGGCTTCTCGGGGCTGGGAGCGGCGGGCACGTGGACCGGGAGGCGTCCAGGGAGAACCTCCTCACGGGCGCAGCCACCCAACAGGACGGCGTTCCGCTCCGTGTCCCCACAGGTCCATGGGCGCTCTGAGGGGTGACTCTCAGGGGTGACGTGTGTGTGTGTGGGGGGCACAGGGGGGTGGTCGTGCGGAGGGTGGATGACAGCCACGGGGTGGCCTCCAAGGTCTTGTGAACTCCAATACGCTTGAGATGGAGAATGCTAGACTGCCAGGGTTTTCACCCCGGCATCCCAGGAGAGCATCACTCTGACACTTCGGGACAGGGGGACGCTGACACACGGAACACCGAGTCTTCAGCGTCTAGAATGCTGGGATTCTGGGCGTGCTGGAGAGTCTCTACCAACCGTGGACATCTGTTCTGACCTGCTTCCACCCTCCCCCTTGGATGTGGGGGCCAGGAGCCGAGGAAATACTTTGCTCGAACTCCTTCGCCACCCGGGCGCAGGGCGAGGTCTGAATTCGCCCGGGGAGACGGTGCACCCGGGGGTGCAGCGTGGAGAGGAGGGCAGGCTGCCGCGTCTCCTCTGGCAGAGGCGTGTCCGCAGCACCCGCTGGGCTCTGCACGCTGCAGCCGGGCCCCCGCTTCCCGGCCACAGGGCGGCCACGACACTCACCGGCAGCGCCAGCAGAGGCCCCTGCACCCCCCAGCCCTTCTGAAAGCCCCCAACTCCCGCGTCAGGTCCCCACCTGCTCGCAGTCCCCGCGGGGCTCCTGCCCCCGAAATTCCCAGCAGCTCCGGGCAGGGGTGCGACATTACCTGTTTTGGGGTAGCAGAGCTGGCAGGCCTGCTTGAACTCGTGGGTGGCAGCCAGCGGGTTCTTGATGAGCAGGGCGGTGTTGGGCATGGGGGGCTCCGGCTGTGGCGAGGGAGAGGCGGCCATGTTGGGCGCCGGGCCGGCCTGGGCGCCCTGAGTGGGGGCGCTGTGACCCTCCCACCCCACCCCAGAGCGGAACTGGAGCCCGGGGCCCTCTTTCCTCCTCTGCCCTCCCGGCTGGGGAGCTCCCTATACCACGATTCCAGAACATCAGGACTGAACCAGCCTCGTGGGGGTACATGGGCAACAGTGACCTTGGCCTAGAACCTTTACTCAAGTAAAAGCCCAACACGAAAGTGGGGAAGCAGGAGTGCCCCCGATGCACGTGCTGTCCCCAGCCTCTGTCTCCCAAGGCCCCACGGCATCAACAGACGGGGAAGGAGGTGAGACGAGGAGAGGCGAGGCGGCTTTGCTGGGGCCACCCAGCCAGGGTCCGTGCTGAGGCGGGAGTTCAGGCTGCCCGAGTCCCGGTCAGGCGCCCTCCCACACCCGGAGCCCGGCCGAGGCCCGGGACCGGGGAGGTTTGCTAATCCTGGGGAAGTTCCTTGGTCTCTCTGAGCCTGGATGTCCTCTTCTGTTCACGCCAGCGCCCTCTGCCCTCTGCACACCCCCTGGCACCAACCCCAGGGCAGTGGGGGGGGCGGGGGGGAGGAGTCTAGGACAGACCGTCTCCGGCCCGTGGGCTCTGAGGGCCCCTCCCCGGGGGGCGCAGCCCTTGTCCCAGGCGGAGGGCTCGCCCCGACTCTGGACCCCAACCGCCCGCCCTCCGCCCCTGGGAGGACACGGGGTGCCTGGTGTCCGAGCCCCACCACGCCACTCACCGAAGGCGCTGGTTTCTGAGAGCCGCCTGGGGGACGGTGGTCCTGTGCGTTGGTGTCCTCTGGGCGAGGAGGAGACACAGGGGTCACCGCCCTGGTCTGGGGGGTGCGGAGCGTCCTCCGAGGACCGGTCCTCCGTATTTCTAACCCGGAGAAACCTCCCAGGGCACACGCACGTCCTCTATTCATGCTGATTCCCCGACTCCACCCCCACCGGGAAAGGGGGGTGTCCCAGCCCAAGCGTGTGCCCCTGGGCTTACACCTCCGGCACCCCCCCCCCCCCCCGCCGTGCCCCGGGAGAAGGCCGAGGCGCCTCAGCTCAGCTCCCAGGTCCTCCAAGACCAGCCCGGGCCTTGCCGGCCCCCAGACCGCCCTCCCTCCTACCCCGCCCATCTGCCCTGGGGGATGTCCCCTGTCACGCAGGCCTGCTGAGGTGACCTCCTTCAAGAGGCACCGTCACCCCCTCCTGGAAGCCTCCCTGGACCCCGAGGCTGAGGGAAGCCCCCCTGTGCTCCGGCAGCCCCATGAACCCCCCTCAGCTGCAGGCTCTCCGAGCCAGGCCCGACTGTGGGAAGCCAGGCCCGGAAGGGCCCGGGGAGGCCTGTTTCCGCTCTGGGCCCCTGGCACCCAGCTCGGAGTGGTGCTGGAGGTGCCCGTGGCCTCGCACCCCTCCCCTAGCCTCAGGGTCGTCCCTGTGCGATCCCACCAGTCTAGTGACCCCAGGGCCCCGGGGGGCTGGTCAGAGCATGCTGGACTGCAAGCCCAGGTCCTAGACTGCCGCAGCCCTGCTGCCTGACACTGTTGGAGCTGCCACGGCACCTTGCAAACCGCCGAGGGGTGCGGGGTGACTATGCCCACGCGGGCCTCACCCAGGAAGGCGCTGGTCTTGTCCAGGGAGCCCCGGGTTGACCCAAAGCTGTCCAAGGCGTCCAGCCGGGTCTCTGAGTACGGCAGCAGGTCCAGGGAGTCCAGTGCGGAGCCAGGGGGGTCGAGGGCGTCCAGCACAGAGGCGGCCAGCTTCTTGGAGGGGTCCATGACGAGGCCAAAGGAGGCAGGGGGCAGGGGGCTGGAGACGGGGATGGACCCGCCCACCACAGGTGGCAGCAGCGGGGTCCCTCCCGGGAACACGGGTATCAGCTGGGGCAGCTCGCTGGGCACGGCGCTGCCAGGCAGGCCCCCCTGGACCAGAGACTGCAAGGTGAACGGAGGGTCAGAAGAGAACTCGAAGGCCCGGACCTGGGCACACCGGGCACTGGGCACAGCCACCCCCCTGCGCCTCAGCCCCAGCCTGCCCCGTGGGGTGAACCGGGAATCTTTATCGCCCCTTCCGGCTGCACGCTCTGCAGCTTTACATTTCTTCCAAGCTGCCGGTCCCCTGCCAAGGCCTCAGTTTCCCCACCTGTGACACGGAGACAAGGCCCTCCCTCCACCCGTTGTGGGGTGTGAGGATGAACGTGACGGGGTCCCCGGTGGGAGAGGCGTCAGGAGAGCAGGAGGGCGCGGCGGGCTCACCAGGGAGTCCAGAAGGGAGTCCAGCTCAGGGCCGAGGACGTCCCCGTCGGAGAAGTCGTCCAGGCCCTCGGTGCCGGGGAGGGCCCTGCTGCCGCTGTCCAGAGGGGCCAGCAGGTCCAGAACGTGCGGGAACAGGGGCATCGTCGGGGTGGAGGGGAGGGGCGCCGGGGAGCCTCGAAGGTCCACGTAGCAGTCTGTGGAGGGGGGGCGGGGCTCAGCAGCTGCGGGGGAGAGGGGAGGGGGCCCGGGGCCCTGGGGCCCTGGTCCAACACCGTCCCCCCCTCCCCAGCTCCCGCACAGAGCCCGGTCTGCCCCGCCGGCCAGCCCCCCTCGGCAGGGGCTCGGTGACAGGGAAGGAAGGCCACTGTGCAGTGGGAGAGGGTCCTTCGGCCCCACAATATGTCCCCGCCGGGCCTGGCCCAGGGCCTGAATGTCCTGTCTCTGGGGCAAGCAGCGCCCTCTCTAGGGGACACTTTTAAAGTGACCTTTCCCGGAAGCCAGCGAGCAAACGGGGAGAGGAGGACTTTGGGAGAGGTGGCACCCAGTTGCGGGGGAGAGGACAGCCCCCCCCCCCCTCCCAGGCCTGGGCGCAGCTCTCCTCTCCCCAGAGTGGGGAGCCTCCCCAAACCCACTCTGTCTGCCTGCACGCTTCCCGCGGTCCCCGGGGAAGGGAGCCCTCCGGAGCCCGTGTCTGCAGGGCTGCAGCTGGGGCCAAGCCCCTCCCGGGGCCGCATCCCCACCCCGTCCCCTCGCATGAGGGGCACTACCTGTTTCGATGTCGTCTATGGACCCCCATCCATCGGAAGTTCCCTGTGGGGAGGAAGGACACGGTGGGTCAGGCAGACGCAGGCTGGGAAGGGCACGGGGCCCAGCACCCCGGGGGTCACCTGGGCCCATGGGACTGGACAGCACAACGGAGAAGGCACCGACGTGCCACTCCCTGCGTCCCCACAGTCCCCTTCTCCAGTTACAGCCCCGGGCGGGATCAGTCCAGGTGGGGCCCACTGCTGAGGGCAGGCCGGGCAGAGCTTGCTCTCGGCCTTGCCGACGTCCTCACCCACAGGGCCTGCATCCTTGTACACAAGGTGAGGATGACATAGTCACCCACCTCCTAGGACTGCTACAAGGATGAAATAATTTGACATCGGTGCGGGGATTAGAGCACCGCCTTACATACAGGAACTGCTTTATGCGTTTGATAAACAAGTAACAAAATTTTAAACCCAAGCTCTCAGGAGCCGGGCTGGGTGACCCGGGTGCCCTCGGTCCCCGGCCTCTGAGCTCCATCCCTGCAGACACTCGCAGTGCATCTCCACCTCCAGGCTGCGGCCCGTCATTCCTGGGCCCGGCCCGTCCTCCCCTCTATGAGCGCCACACACTCCCGCCGATGTCCCCCTTCCCTGGCGAGGCCCTGGGGGCCCCCCGTCTCCTCTGCGCTCCCGAGGAGGGCAGCAGGGGCACCAGACCCCCCTCCTCCACGGACCATGCCATCCTGGGGCTCAGCAGCAGCAGCGGAAATAGCAACAAGAGTAACCAGTGCTGCCTGACGCCAGGGCCGGGCCTGTACCTCACACCCCGTGGAGCTCAGCCCTGGGCTCCAGGCCCCGCCAGGTGGCCACCGGCACAGAGAGGTCGGACCTGAGGAGCCGCCCCTCCCCCACCCCGGGCCTCGCTCTCCCAACCCTGTGCGTGTGTGCGCAGAGCCCCCCGCAGGCACGCAGTGCACACATGTGCAGTTCAGGCGCCCAGGGTGTGCGTGGCCCTCCCAGACAAGCTGGACAGCCCACGGCTGCCGCACCGCATCGGAGAGCTGCTGTGCTCATGGCGAGGGCATAAAATATTTCCTCAGTGCCGCCGTGGCTCCCCAGGCCCCACGGGACACAGTCACCTTCACAGCCCCTGCCCACCACCTCACTCTAGCCCACCTCTCTAGGATCAGCTCCCCCGGCCTGTTTCCAGCCAGTGACACTCCCTTAGCCACAGAGGTCCCTGGAGCCCCCCTCCCCAGCGGACGCTGTGCTGGGGGTGTCCCGTGTGACCCACTGGACTCCTACAGCCACCACGAGATGGCAGGAAGCAGCACCTCTCCGAGCAGTGGAGGGGCCACCTCGCATGAAGGGGTGCACTCAAGACCTGAACCCAAACTCACCGAGCTGCAGGGCCCCGATTCTTCTGAGCCCAGGGGGAGAACTTGGACTTCCCTCTCCTGCCTCCTCTCGGCCTGCCTGAGTCCCGCCAGCCCGACTCCATCACGGCCTCTCGACCACCGCTGCCTCGGGCTCCGTCGGTGCCTCGGTCTCCCAGCCCCCCCTGCACCCCTCACGGCCCACACTGCCCAGGGACACAGCTCTGGCACCGAGACCGTGCCAGCAGGGCCTGCCTGACTCCAGGGTCCTGAGAAGCCCCCCGTGGGCACAGCCGTGCCGCCCCCAGGACTAGGCACACTGTGGAATGACCAGCTGAATGAACAGGCCGCCCGGGCCGGAGAGCCATCCCAGCAGCCCAGGCGCATGCCCACTGCGTGTGTACGGCTTCCAGACGGTCAGGGGGTCTGGCTGTGTGTGTGTGTGTGTGTGTGCGCGCGCGTGCAGCACCACTCCGTTGCACCGGGGCAGGATCTGACCTCGTCTTCTCCACCGTGGAGTCCACTCTGCCTGGCCTTCTCATGGATGCCCACCCCCGGGACCAGCCCTGGCCTGCGTGCATGTGTTGGGGGCCCCAGCAAAGCTTCATGGGTGCGTGAGCGGTTTGGCAGGGACTAGGTGCCCAGGGCCATGCAAGGCACCATCTGTGGTCCCCTGGCTCCAGGCTCAGTGGACACGGAAGGCTGGCCCTTTGGTGGCGGGGCACTCCACCCATATCTGCTGTGACCCTCTGGCCACGGCCATTCAGTCACTCAACAAACAACTTCTGAGCATCAGTTGTGCCCGCCCAGCGCAACACCGCTTGCTGTGACCAGGTGCTACTGTACTGCACAGTTGTGCTCACTGGCCTTCGAGGACCTGCAGGCAGGCCCCTGGCCCCAGGCTCCTGGAAGAGACCTGCGAGGGAGCTGGGCTGGAACAGGGCGGGGAGTGAACACCGGCCCTGCCTGGGCACCGGGAACTGGCTTTCCGGGCCTGCGCTCATCCCACCCACCAGCCACCTGGGGACTGAGCACAGCCCTCAGTGGACTGAGCCCACTTTACAGAGGGCTCCCAGCGCTCAGACAGGTGATGTAATTTCCTCTTGGCCACCAGTAAGCGAAGGCCAGGCCCGTCTGACTCCGCAGCGGTGCCATGCAGCGGCACAGAACAGAGGGGCCCCGAGTCCCTGCTCTCAGAGGAGCTCCTTGCAAAGCAGAGACCACACACACGCAGCACCCGCGCCATCCAGTGCGCCCACAGGCGGTGCTGAGGGCGGAGAGGGAGGCCGGAACCAGATGGGGGAGGGGCCCGAACGCCAGGCTGAGGCTGTAGTACCCGGATGTTGACTAGTCATAGTACTTTAAAACAGACACTTCGCAACCTGGCTGGCGTAGCTCAGTGGATTGAGCGCGGGCTATGAACCAAAGTGTCGCAGGTTCGATTCCCAGTCAGGGCACATCCCTGGGTTGCAGGCCATGACCCCCAGCAACGGCACATTGATGTTTCTCTTTCTCTCTCTCTCTCTCCCTCCCTCCCTTCCCTCTCGAAAAATAAATAAAAATCTTAAAAACAAAAAAAAAAGCAGACACTTCGCTAACCACTGAGGGTTTCTGAGCGGGGAGAGACCCGAGAGGCCTGGCTGCTGGAGCTCACTGTGCGGCCACTCTGGGGGAACAGGTGTTAAGGGGGTCTGGACAGTGCTGGGCGACAAGAAAGGGAGGCCAGACAGGACTTGGGAAAGCGGGATGTGGTCTGAACCGGGGCAGTCACCGTAGGACGAGAAGGGACAGGAGTAGCCCATCACAGACCAGCTAGGGTCACCCAAGAGCTGCCCGCTAATGCACAATCATGCCCCGGCCCACAGACAACAAAAGGGCCCCAGTCCCTCGGGCCCTGGGGACGAGGTAGGAGCCCCTGGGATCCAGGGACAAGTAAGATCTGTCCGAGTAACTCCCTGCTTCTCCATCACCTCCGGCAGGACGAAAGAGGCGCCTTGCGCAGTCCCCTCCAGCCCCTCCGGCCCCCTGGCTGCTCGCACGCCCTGGGCACTCCTGCCTGAGGGTGTTCGCACCGGCTGTTCCCCTCGCCTCGTCCCCCAAGCCCCCTTCGGGTTCACCCCTCATCTCCTTTAGGTCTTTGCTGAGGGGTCTCCTTCTCACTGAGGCCTTCCCTGCTCACTGTTTAAAAATCTGCAGCCCCCTCCAACAGCCCCAGCACTCCCCAGCCCCCTTCTCCACAGCACGGATCTCTTCTCTTTATCTTCCCCGATTAGCCTGCAAGTTTCACGAGGGTGGGGCTCTTTGGCTGTTTCTCTGCTTTACCCCAAGTGTCTGGACCAATTATATGCTGGGCCTATAGCACTCAATAATTATCTTCTGAATGAAGAGAATCAATACCCTCCCGGCGTTCTTGTGATGAGGACGAGGACGCAGCTCCTCCCCAGGGACGAGGTGGTCTGGCTTCTAGCCACTGTTCTCCAGCCCCACAGGAACGCTGCCCCCCTCCGCTCGGCCCCTCCCACATTCCGGGCCCCTCCCAGCCTCAGGGCCTTTGCATAGGCCTGCTCCTCGGCCCGGAATGCTGTTTTACCTGTACACCCGGCCCTGCCTGTTCCTTCACCTCCAGGTTGCGGTTTAAAGGTCACTGATGCCAGTCTAAATCAGGCCTTCCGTTTCCAGTGGCCCGTGGCTCCCCTCGCTCTGCCTTTATTTATAGGTCTCATCGCGGTTTGTAACCAGAAACGATCGCACTAGTGTCCGCCTGCCCTGGCCGGGGAGTGCTTCGAGGGCAGGGACCACACTTGTTTGGTTCACCGTGTGCACAGCCCCCAGCTCAGTGCCTGCCACATACTGGCTGAAGTCAGACAAGTCACCTAACTTCTCTGTGCCTGTTTGCCCTTAGTTAGTCACAGGGAGGACGCAGCACCTCCCTTGAGGCACTGTCGTAAAGTTACCTGGGACTGTTCATTCCTTGTTCACTCACCCGCTGCTGTGGTGTAAAGGTTTATCCCCCCCAAACTGATACGCTGGAACCTAACCCCCAAAGTGATAACAGTATTAGAAGAGGCCTTTGGGAGGTGATTGGATCATGAGAGGGGGGTCCCCACGAATGGCATGAGAGACCCCACTGAGATCCCTTGTCCCTCTGCCCTCTGAAGTTACAACCAGAAGGCGCCAACCATAAACCCAGAAGTGGATCTCCACTAGACACAGAATCCGCCAGCGTCTTGCTCCTGCACACCCCAGCCTCCAGAACCGAGAGACAGTTGTTTGCTGCCTGCAAATCAACCCATCCCACGGCATTTTGTTGCAGCCGCCCAACCAGACCAGGACATTCCCTTATTATTTCTTGAACTCTCAGGACACGCGAGGCTAATAGTTTCTGGTTATGAACCACGACGAGTGCGGGCTACAAACCAGGTGAGACCTCGTCTGCCTCCCTCGCCGCCTGAGCGTCCCCAAGGGCAGAGACACGCCTAACTCAGCTCCGGCCAAGAAGGGATTCCCGGAGACGGACGAGTGAGTGAATGGAAGAGCTGCAACGCCCTGGAGGCGGGGCGGGCCTGCTGCTGCTTCGCTGTGTGACACTGGCCAAGTCCCTTGCCCCCCCTGTGCCCGAGTCTCCCCTTATGTGCAATGAGGAGGCAGGACGTGGGCTCCATCTGTACTCCTACAGCCTGTCCCTCCTCTTCCAAGAAGGCCTACCGTCCACGCCGCGGTTCCTGTGCGGGGAGCGGCGGGGCGGCCATGCGTGTGCGAGCTCTGCCGCCACCCAGAGGGCAAGGCCTGGGTGGTCTGGCCCCAGTCACCCCCCTTTCTACGTCCGTATCCCCATCCTTCCCTGCTGCCACTGTCCCCTTTCTCAGGGGTTCACAGGCTGCCCCTGCAGCGACCGTTCCCGCCACCAGCAGCCACAGCCTGTCCCCACACTTTGCCTCTGTGGTCACAGGAGGCGCCTGCTGGGAGGGAGGTGGAGAGCTGTGCACCCCAGAGCTGTCCTCACGAGCCTGACTCAGGCCCAGGCTGCCAGTCACCCCCTCTTCCCAGAGTAGGGGGCCTGGCTCACAGCAGTGGGGACGGGGACGGATGGCATCCTTCAGCTGGACGCCCCTGCACCCGCTGCCTGCGGTCACTTGGGCCCCAGAGCGAATTCAAAGCGCTCGCGATGGGTGAACCGCAGCAGGTTATTCCTCGAGGTGGGGAGGAGGGAGGCTTGGGGTCCTGGCCCCATCCTACCTGATCTGCCACACCAGCTGCAGTGCCGTTACTGAGCAGAGAAAAGGTTTCCAATTCCTGCCAGAGATTGGAGAGAGGTGGGAAGAGATGAAGATCCCGGAAAGACGCTCAGGGTCCCATCAGCCAGGGCAGCAGAGGGGGCCCAGCAGGCGGCCGGGGTCTGTGGTGCCCTCCAAGGCTCCCCGCCCCGGGCCGCCGGGGGCCGCCTGCACTCTCTCTGGGTCACCCGAGGGTGTTCTCTTTCTGCAGCCCTGACCTGCACAGAGGAATTCGAGCGCGCACTGCCGCTGTGTGCAGGCACCGCATGCCACTCGCTTGCTGCGGCCCTCCCAGGGACCCTCGGAGGCGGGCATGGTCAGCCCACGTCCCGGGTGCGGAGAGAGCTGGCTTGCTCGAGGTCACAGCAGAGACTCCAGAACGATACCCTCTCTACGTGCAGCTTCCTGGCACCCAGTGGGCGCCACGGAACATACACAGACTTGAACGAAGCAAACAGATACCAACATCTCAAACGTGCGCCACCACCCCGGGGTTACGTGAGGACATAGGCTGAAGGACACCACTGTCGCTGAGGCCACCGCTGGGGCGCTGAGGCCATCCGGGGCAGGGGAGGGGACGGGTCTGAACAGCTGGTGTTTAAGGTGAGCTGGGAGCTTCAGCTGCTCTTTCCTTCCCCTAAAGGTTCTGAACGTCACTGCAGGGCTTTCGGCCAAAAAGAGGGACGGTCACCTGCTGTCACTCCCTTCCGTCCTGGCCTGGCTCTGGCCACCCTCACCTACTTCTCCCAAAGGCGCCCAGACCCCCTCCTCAGATTTCCCATCTCCGCCCCCAGCAGCCCCCAGCAGCCCCCAGCGCCCACCTACCTGGGGCCTCTTGTACGCCTTCCGGACGCGCAGCCCGAGCTTCTGGGCCAGCTCCTGACCCAGCTGCGTCACACTCTCGTCCTGGGGAAGACAAGACACAGGTGGGGCAGGTCGCTCTGCCGGCTCGCCGCGCCGGACTGCGGGCACGCGTGCAGCAGCCCCGCAAAGGGGGGCCCGGGGTCACCCCACGTTCCTACGGACAAGGACGCAGGCTCCCGGCAGGGGACGCTAAGGTGGCTGGCTGCCCGTCACACAGCTAGAACGTGGCGGGGCTGGGGCCAGAACCCCTTGCTTCTGCTTCTCTTTTACTGGGGCGGAGGGAAAAGGAGTAATTTTTGTTGATTCTGACATTGTCTTTTTTGTATTCACAATTCGGCCAGTAACAGCATCACTGGGGAGGCTGAAACCTGAGAGCAAATGCTCCCAGCGGTCGCCCCCCTGCCCCTCCCCCGCCAGGAGGTCTGATGTGCTCGTCCCCTGCGCAGCTCCCCGGGGACTTACAGACGCGCCCGTGGACCTAGGAAGAAGGCTTCCCTCTGCTCTTCGGGGATTTTCTCTCGTTTCACATAAGTGGGATCCTATTATACCAACGGTTCCCACAACTTGCTTCCTTCACCAAACAGCGTCTTGGAACTTTCTGCCAGTCCCGGGGGGTGCGCAGGCCCAGAGCGGCGAGGACGCACGGAGTGCAGAGCGCGCCCGGCCCCCGGTCAGCGCTGAGTGACAGCACCCAGCACCCGCTCCTCCCTCCGAGTCCGTAGTACTGTTCGCGTACCAGGGGCCAGGCACACCGGCCGCAGGGCGGACGGGGCCCAGGACGCAGGCAGGGTCCCGTCTGGTGGGGGAGACCCGTCGTCGGTCAACACCAGAATGGCGACGACGACGACGGAGCGAGAAGTACTGTGAAGTCCCGCACAGGGGCTGCCTCCCCCCTCCCTGACGAGCTCCTGGAGCCCCAGGGCCAGGCCCCGGGGTCACCTCCAGCCCTGGTGCCCACGCGAGGCTCGGTTCTGTTAGTGTCTGCCCGCAAAGGCTGGAAACGGGGGGACTCTCCGGCTCAGAGCCCGAGGCCCTCGTCCAGGGACTTCCCGCAGGGGAGTTACCGCCCCGGCTGGGCTGGGCTGGGCTGGACGGAGGGGTAGAAGCCACGGGCCCCCCCAGGAGGGGGTCACCCCGGCGGCTGGGTGTGGACCCGCGGTGAGTGCTGGAAAAGCTGTATGGAGGGGGGACCTCTGTCGTAAGAAAGGTTCTCCCTGCAAACTAAACTGAACCAGGGAAGCAAGAATAGTGAACAAAACCCAGAGTAACGGTGACTGTCTTCTGAACACTCGCTGTGTCTGCTATCACGCAGACTGGCTCGTGTGACTCTCGGGGTTCCATCCTCAGCACAGCCCTGCAGTGCCTGGTTTTTTGTCGGCACCCCGTCTGACAGGAGTGGGAACCAAGGCCACAGAGGCCAAGCTACGTGTGTACGGCCACACTTAGCCACTAGGTGGCAGGCTCGCGGTCAGGACCCAAACGCAGGCCCGAGCTCTGGAGCTCTGGCACTGTCGTCCTTGACCGTCGTGCATGCGACTTCCTCTCCGCTCTGCTCACCCAAATCCTTCTCGCTCCTTCCAGGCCCACTCATGCCCCGCCTCCTTCGGGGAGTCCTCCAGGATCCTGACCACTCCTGAGTCCTCTCAGCCCTTCCTGGGAAGCACTTGCCTACCCCCAAATGCTTTCACGCCCAGTATTTCAGGGATAAAGTGGAATAAGGACATTTTCTAGGCATGGAGGGGATGCACAGACAGGGGGAGTGCTCTGTCCGAGTTCATGCCAGGGGTCAGCAGTGGAGGCCAGCCTAGACCTAGGGATGTTTCCACTCCTCTCCTTGTAGTCTGTGGGTCCCCAAAAGGCACAGCCCTGGGTGCCGTGTGGGCACTCCGTAAACACCTGTTAAGCGGGTGAATAACGGGGAGAGCGGGCAGATGCCCGGCCGCGCGCCGGCTGAGGCGAGCAAGGCCCTCTCTAGGACATCTCCCACCGCCTCCTCCCTGGCTAAGGACAGCCTGGGCACCAGGACTCCGTGCATGCGGCGCCCCTTTCATTCTCACTGCGCCCCTGGACTCGGCACTCTCCCTGGTCGGGAGCACCAACTCCAGGAGCGGACTGCCTCGGTTCAAATCCCCGCTCTGCCTCCGAAATGCTGGGAAAGTTCCTTTCTCTCTGTCATCTTCAAAATGGGGATAATTGTATCTACCACAAAGGGTTGTTTGTGGCAAGTGAGCAAATACAATGTATCTTTAGCAATGCCTGGCACACAGTCAGAGGTCACTGTCGATAACAGTGTTTGCAACTCTATGTAACAGGAAATGGAGCCTCGGAGAGACCAGGTGGTTTGGCCGAGTGAGGGCGGGCGTGGACGCAGCGCCGCAGGCACTCACGTGGGGCAGGGCGAGCGAGCAGCGGCTGCTGCACTCGTAGGCCTCCTTGTGGCGTCCCAGCTCGTTGAGGGCACGCGCCTTGCGGAACAGTGCCCGGATGTTCTCGCAGTCCAGACCCAGTGCCTTCTCGCTGTCCTCCAGCGCCTTCTCGTACAGGCCCTGCCGGAGAGGAGCAGGGGCTCTGCGTCAGCGCCTGCCGCCCGCCCTCCCCCAGGCCTCCTGCTCCCCTCAGCGGAGGGTCAGCCTCCCCTTCCCTGCAGAGACGGAGGCTGCCGGAGGAGCCGGCTCAGGGAGGAGGCTCCAGAGCTCCAGGAAACGGCTCTGGTGCTCCCACTCCGGTCAAGGGCAGCCAAGTGTCCAGCTGAGGGCATTGCCAATGGGCACTGTTGGGACACAGGGGGGAGGGGCCTTCACGTGCTACGGTGGTGAGCCCGGTCACTCAGACATATCTGTTTCGTATCTCCCCTCGGGGCAGAACACCACGGGTGGGGAGTGAGAGAGGCGCCTTAGAGAGGAGATCACGAAGGCGGCCCATGTACGGAACAGAGCGCGAGCAGGCATCTGGTAGACCCGCTTGTCCGGAGCGGCCCACCAGTCGCTAGTCCACTGTGGACGGCAGAGGTGCCTCAGGAGCCTCCGCAGAGCCCACAGCGCAGCCGCCCAGGGGCCCAGCGAGTGAGCGGGCAGGGCAGGCACGAGGTCAGGGGGCTGGAGCCCTCGGAAGGAGCGGAGGCCGGAGGCGTGGAGAAAGAAGCGAGGCTGTCGTGAGAGGCGAGGAGCCCGGGAGGGAGGAGCGGGAGAGGCCAGAGGTTCGCAGGGAGAGGCGGAGCGACGACCAGGGAGGTCCTCAGCCCTGACTGCCCACTGACTCCTGGCAGCGCCCAGGCCACCCACAGATGCTAACTGAATCCATCTGGGGCAGGGCTCAGGCACCACTGTCATCTTTAAAAGTCTTCTCGGGTCCCAGTATTAGCACTTCACGAGCTCTCCAGGTAAACACCTGCTGTGCAGCAGGGTTGAAAGTCAAGGAAGCAGACGGTGAGATTCGGACGGGAGGCTGGGGAGAATCCCCGGCCTTGCAGAGGCTCCCTGGGGTGTGGCCCGGCTCAGCTGGGCATCTGGGGAAGTGGTGGGCGGGGCAGGGGTGGGGGAGGGGGAGGGCGCCGGGCTCACCATGGCGAAGTAGCAGGCAGCCCTGTTGACATGCAGCTTGCACAGCAGCTCCCGGGGCAGGGCCACCTGGTCGGAGGCGGCGTAGTCGGCCACATTCAGCCCTTCCATGTACTGCACCAGGGCCTGCTTGTGGTCCTTCTCCCGGAACAGGTCATTGCCCTCGGCAAACAGGTTCTGCACCAGCTTGAGCAGAAAGGCCTGCCGGGATGTAAGGTGCAGAGGGAGCTCAGGGGGCTTTCTCCACCCAGCCCCAGCCCCAGCCCCAGCCCCAGCCCCAGCCCCTGGACCCACTCCCGCCTCATCTGGACACCCCTGCTCTTTGCCTTCCCCGACCCCGGCAGCGGACACTCACCTCATATTCTTCTTGCTTCAGGGGTAGTGTCGACCTAGCGGGAAAAGGAGAGGAGAACAAGGTCTGGGTGAGCCCGAGGGTCCCAGCCACGTGGAGGTCCGGGAGCCAGAGCCACAGGCCGGGGACTGTGGCCGGAGCGGGCTCCTCCGGCTCGGACCTCCGGTGTCACCTCGCGGCCTGGGGTGAGTGGACGGCATTTTCTCCCTAAACCATCCCTGTGCTGGCCTTCCACTCGCCCCGGGGCCTGGCAGCCTGGCCTTCCCAGGTGCAGAGGCTGAGAGAGAGCAGGCCAGCTCAGCAGTCCCCCACCTACGAGTGACTGTGCCCCGCCACCCCAGACCTGCAGCCGCAGGGCCCCAGGCACCACCGGCAGTCCACCTGAGGTCCCCTTCTCCCATCCCTCCCCACAAAACTCACGTCAACGCCAGCCAGTGCCAGGTACACTCAGAGCCTGACACCCCTTCATGTCAGACTCAACAACGTAGATGGGTCCCTGGGTGCCCTCTGCTCTCCCGTGGTCAAAAAAATGCCACTCAGGACAGTAGCAAGTGACAGCCCAGGAGAGCAGAGGCGCACCCGTCACGCTGGGGGGCTGAGCTGGAGGGGAAACTGGGGTTTGTCTCCAGGCCCCTCAGGTCACCGAGGGGAAAGCGGACACTCAGAGGGGCAGTGACTTGCCCGAGGTCACACAGCAGGTCAGCGCCCGGGCCAGAGCCAGAGCCGGAGCACAGGGCTGGGGCCCCTCCCACTGCCGGGAGCTGTCACCCGCGGCCGGGTGAGGAGGAGCCGCCTGGGCGAGCGAGGGAGAAGCGGTGAGGGGGGATGCCGGGGGTCCCCAGGGGGTGACAGCGAGGCTCCCGACCCGATCCTCTCACTCCCCTCCCCACCGTCAGAGGCCAGGGCTCGCCCCTGCTTCCCCATACTGTCCCAGCCCGGGCCACCGCCGCGGTCGCCCTCCCCCTGACCGGCCTCCACCTCCAGCCTCTCCCCTTCCAGCGCCTGCTGCCTCTTCAACAGGTCCCACCCTGCCCTAGAAACCACCGCATCCTGGAGCTCAAGGCCTCCACGAGCCAGCGCCGACCCACCTGTCCAGACCACTCTGTGTCTCCTCCAATGCCCCGCGCCCACTAGGCATTTGCTAAGCACGTGCAGTCTGCATGTGCAAGTCCCACTGTGTCACCCTGCAAAGCGGCCCCTGGGGAGGGCGACATCCGGTTCCTGGAGGTTGTCCGACTGCTAAACCTCTTGCGACACCCCCCCCCCACCCCTTGGGAGAGGAGAACCAGGACACAGAGCGAACATCTCCTGCAGGCGCAAGGACCCCGGGAGGGACGGGGTACTGCCCTCTCCGTGTCCCGGGGACGGAGCCCACCCGTTCCGCCCGGGGGGAACCCGGGTGTGGGCTCGGAGCTGCAGCTCCGTGGAAACCAGTGACTTCCGTTCAAGCCGGATCCTGACAACAGACAGTACTGTCCAGGTTAGCCTTGCTCGCCAGCCTGACCTCAGCTCTGTCGTCTGCGAAGCGGTGGACAAGACCACCGACTTTCCCAGGCTGCTGGGAAGATCAGAGCAAGGATGGACGCGAAGGGCCCGGCGCAGAGCCCGAGAGATGTGCCCCCACATTCAGTGGGAAGCACCGATTTCCTACGAGACGTGCGCGGGCAGGCACGAGAACTGACGCGCGTGTGCAGATGGGGAGGGTGAACAGCACACAGCACGAGGCCGGAGGGCAGCCAGGGTCGGGGAGCGCACACGCGTGTGCAGGGTTCATGGCTCCCGTGTGGGGTTCGCAGATCCATCCCCTCGCCCCGGCCACGCCAGCCGCTTCCTAGCACCTCCGACCTCCCCACTCCCCAGCACACGGGGGGACCCGGACAGCCGAGGCTCCGCGAGCAAGACAAGGACAGCTGGGGAGAGCTGCTGCGGGCCTCGGCCGAGTTCGGAGGACCCGCCCGGCCCCCCGCCGCCCCGGCGCACACTCACTGAATGAACTGCAGCCCCTTCTCGATGTCCGCCTTCCGTCTCTGCCTCTCCATCAGTCTCTAGGGGAGAGAACAGTTCATCGGTCAGTCACGGGGGCCACCTGCCCCGACACGCACCGTGGACTCACCCTCGCTCGCCCCAGTTCACGGCGCAGAGGGGAGTCCCCGAGGGCGGTGACCTCTCTCGGGGTCTCCAGAGACGTCCGGACCGGGCCACACGGCCCCTGCCCTCCACGCCCACGTCCCACTGGACCCCGAGTTTGTACAGGGCCCTCAGCAGCCAGGGAGCTGCCTGGAGGCCACCTGCCCGTTCCCACACATGGCTTGGGCTGCAATGCTGCATAGGACTCCCTCAAGTTCAAGGAAAAAAAAACCCCGTTTAACCATCAAACTCAGTCTGAGGAGAAAAGACACAGAAAAGGCAAAATAACGCCATTGACTATAGCTACAGTGTAGCACTGCGCACTGGGCCAGGCACTCGGTATACGGGTCTTGATGAGTCTTCCAACAGCGCGGTGAGGCGGGTGTCCTTCCGCCCCATTTTACCGAGGAGGAGTGGAGGCTCAGAGAGCTGCCCCACGGCTGAGGTGGGATCTGAGCCCAGGCCACCCCCCTTTTATGCTCCCCAACTCCTATGGTCCCTCCACCCAGCTCTACACGCACCATTTCATGAACAGCAGTAAGAAAGAGATAAATGAATATCAACTCACCCTAGTCAGACTTTTTATAGATAAGGATACGTATTTATTTATGTGTTTACTTTTAAAGACTTTATTTTATTTTTAGACAGAGGAAGGGAAAGAGAAAGAGAGGGAGAGAAACATCAGTGTGTGGTTGCCTCTCACATGCCCCCTACTGGGGACCTGGCCCGCAACCCAGGCGTGTGCCCTGATGGGGAGTCGAACCGGCAACCCCTCGGTTCGCAGGTTCACAGGCTGGCACTCAATCCACTGTGCCACAGCGGCCAGGGCAGAGTCAGTGCTGAGTAAGTAAATGAGAAATAATGAGCGATGCTGAGTGGTAACCAGGTGCCTGCCCAGGGGGCTGTCACGGTCCCTTCAGACGCCCCCAGCGACACCCGTTCTGTTGCCCACGAAGCACTCAGACCCAGCCCCAGGACGCCCAGCCTGTCGTCAGGCTCAAAACAGTCAGAGCTCCCTCCCTGACCCAAATCCCCCTCTGGCTGCTGCACAGCCTCTCCTCCCGTTCTTGGTCCCGTTTCCTGAAAGAGGTGCCTACACCCTCCCGCCCCCCCTGCCCCAACGCACGGCAGCCCCACTCCCGCTCCGCCGCCCATGCTCACCACGCGACCTCCTCGTCGCCGTGCCCACGGAGGGGCGGTTTCCCGCCTGCCCGTTCTGGCCCTTCCGGCCGCACCTGCCAGGTCCCCTCGCACCGGCCTCTCCGACCGGTCGCCCCTGCTCCGCCGCCCAGGTCCGAGGACCGGAGCGCAGGCCTCCGCCGAAGGGACAGCACCCCCTGCTCGCCTGGACGAGCACACTGTCCCCAGATGAGCCCTCACATTCCGTGATCTCATGAGTCACGCGGGTGATGCACAGAGCAGTTCCTCCCGCCAGGCTCGCCCCCTCCCCAGTATTTCAGATCCGTGTCCTACCTTCTGGGCAGTGCCGCCTGGATGTCCGACAGCCGGGTCGCTTATGGCTTCCCAGCCTTTCCCAACCAGGGGCCCTCTACCTGGAACGCCCCCCCCCCGCCCCCCAGCCAACGCCTTTACGACTCAGCTCAGATGCCTTGGTGTCTAGAAAGTCCTCCCCGGTGCCCACTCCAGGGTGCCCACCCAGCCAGCTGGGCCGGGTGCTCCTCCAACTGAGCAGACAGTCCCAACTTAGCTCAGCAGCCCAGCCCCACCCTCCTCCGTCCACCCCCGCTGCGGCGGCTGCACAGCTCTCCCCTGTGGTCAGTCTCCGAGTCCTCCCACCCTTACCTGGAAAACCTTTCTCCCCTCCGCAGCCCCGCCCACCTTCCCCACACCCACAGCTATCTCCCGGGCCCTCCCCGTCTCCTGCCTGCAGCCCCCAGGGAGCCCCGTCCCATCTGCTGCCCTCTGGTGGCCAAGGGTAGCTGTCAACCCACAGGTCAGTGTCGCTCCCCTGCTCAAAACTCTTCCGGGTGTGCCTGCGCGCACACGCACGTGAACACAGGTTTCTTAAAAAGGTGAGAACGTGCACTCTGTAGTCAGGTGATGTACCGACGCCACCGTTCCGGGTTGGATAAGCTGCAACAGTATGTTACCATCGGGGGAAGCTGGGCGAAGGGAACTCGGTGCTGTTTTTACAGCTCCCCGTGAATAAAAAAGTTAAATAAGCAAATAAACCCTCCACGACTCCCGCTAGCAGGAGGGCCAACCCCACGCTGCTCATCGCGGATGCCGGGCACTGGGAGGCCCGCCCAGCCTGCTGCACCCTGGTTAACGTCCGGCCATCAGCCCACCAGGGGCCGCCCATGCAGGCTGCCCTCTCTGTCTGGGACACCTTTCACACCCCCGCTCCCCCACCCCCCACCCCCCGCTAGTGCCCAGGGCTTCAGTAAAGCTCAGCTCGGATGGCTCCCCTACCAGGAAGCCTGCCTTCCCTGCTCCCCCCACCCCCACCCCCGGCTCCAACAACGCCATCACGGGCCTTCTCTGGACTGACTGCCGCCAGCACATGCTCACGTTCCCATCTCTTCCCAAACCGTGAGCTCCCTGGAGGCAGGAGCTGCGTCGGATACATCTCTGTCTCAGAGACGTATCAGGGCCCCGTGAACTTTAGAACTGCGTGTAGAAGCTGATTTCAGTCCTCAGGTATGAAGTACTTTCTCCTACCAGACATTGTTCTAGGTGCTTTAAATATAATTCTTAATCCTCACAACACCCCAGAAGAAAGTGCTATTATCGTCCCCGTTTTACAGATAAGAAAACTAAGGCACAAGGAGTTAGTACCTGGTAGCAAGTAAGTGTCGGAGCTGGGATTTGAACCCTGGCAATGTGACTCTGGAGGCCAGCCTGTCATCACCTCTCAAACGGGTGCTCCCGTCATCACCAACGGGTGCTCCTCCCGGTCCCCACAGGACGCCTCCTGTGCCATCTCACATGCTGCGGCCGGGCACTCGCCTGTCCCACACTCTTGAAGGAGCAGCAGTCAGGGCAGACGGCAGACCTGCCACAGGCACAGGCGCTACCTGAGGTTACGTCATCGGCATAGATCCCCCGCACGGCTCCTGACTCACCAGCCCGCAGTGGCTTACTCAGAGACCAGGGGAGGTCTAGTCTGGCCAACCTGGCCTCGCCAGTCAGCATCCCGGGTCTGCCCTGGCCCCCTCCCCGCAGCCCCTGTGGGCCCTGCCTGCCCACCCGAGGACCCTCTGCTCCAAGCAGGGCAGGGAGGGGTCTCGGCTCATCCTTTGGCGATTACTCGCTGCGTATCGAGCGCCTTCTATGGCAGGGGTTTTGAACCTTGGAGCCCACAGAGAGAATTCAGGAGCCCATGAACCTGGGCGGGAAAACACTGGCAAGTTTTCTCACTAAGCCCTACCCGATGTTTAGCACCCCTTCAATTACGGACGTCGAGGCCGCACCGCAGCAGCAGCAGCAGCAGCAGCAGCGGCGGTGGCGTCAGGGCTGGGAATCACCCCTCCTCCCGCTGCGCCGCGGCCACCGCAGACACAACAACAGGCCGGGCACACCGGGGACGGCTTCCAAACCCCTGCAGCTGTGCCGCTGACTGCGAGCTCTTGTTTTTGAGTGCATTAGTTAAAAAAAAAATAAAAACAAAAAAGCACAGCCACCGTTCCATAGCAGTGGCTTCCTCGGCAACCCCGTACGTTTTATGTTCGACGCACGTGACAAGCGGCGTCCCGAGAAGGCTCGCCCGGGGCCTCCTGGGCGGTGTGCGCTGCCGCCTTGCTGATCTGAAGCTCTGCTCTACGGGATTGTGTTTTCATCCCTGCATTACTCTCAGAAGTAGGTGTTCTTAACGTTACCCCCGCTTTCCACAGGAAAAAAGAGGCTTGAAGAAATGGTCTTTAAAAAAAAAAAAAAAGCAAGGCCTGGCCCTCGTGACCCATGACCGGCGGGGGAGAGAGCTGGAGGCCCCGCCCCCCCTCCGCCAGGCCTCGCCGGTCACCTCCGCAGGAACCAAAGTTCAGGACACTGTCCCCGAGCCTCCCCCACGGCCCCAGCAGAAACCAAGCTCGGAGTCACGGCGGCACAGCACACTCCCCCGGGGCCGGGGGTTCTGGGCGCAAAGAGCTGTGACTTCCATGATCCCGTTTGGGCCCCAAACCCTCCGGGGGCCAGATGGTCCCAGGGAGGGGCCGGAACAGCACCCCGAGGGGTCCGGGGCTTGGGCCCCTGCTCCACCGCCGTCCGCCAGCTGCGGTGCTCCAGGGAAATGTTTAAACAGGAGTTTTTTGTTTTTTTTTTTTAAATAGAAAAGTAACAGAAGCTCATTGTGCAACCCTTGGGAATTATGGACAAGGATAACAAAGCAGAAGAGAAGACACCCAGGGTGCCCGCCTAACGCGGTGAAGGGCACCGTTCCTTTGAGTGATTGAGAAGTCACTGCCCCAGCCCGAGGGGGCCCGAGGTCCTTGCGGCCGGGCCACCCTGCTGGGCCGGCCAGCGGGAGAGTCTCCTGGGCCACCCCGCCTGCTCCACTGCCTGAGGACAGCGAGGCAGGCCACCGGACCTGGGTTCCAAGCCCAGCACTGTCCCACGCCAGCTTTCAGGGCACCCCTCCACGCCTGTGTTTGTCATTTGCAACATGGGGCTAAGGACACGTGCCTTGTAAGGCACTTGGCAGATTTACACGGCGGGCCCCCCACGGAGGAGGTCGTAAGCTTGTGTTCCTGCCGAGCGGGACACTGTTAGAGGGTCCCTGGCGACCTACAAAATTAGCCTAAAAGTACTTCTCTGTCAGCCCACACCGATTCCTTGGCAGTTTCTGTCTGGGCCACTCTTTTTCGGCAGGCGCTGTCCAGGAACGCCCTGCTACCGGTGCCCGCTTATTCACGAAGCATGCGCAGAACACCTCCGTGCGCAAGGGGCTCTGCCAGGTGCC